TTAATTCCAGCTGTAGTAATTTGATGCAAACAAGCCTTCATAAACGTTATCTAGTTTGCCTTTAAATTTTCCAAGCACCAGTTGCATATCCCATTACCCATGTGTTATAATACACAGCCATGCCGTGCATATTTTATGGCATGCCGTGCATATTTTATGGAATATGTGGATCTATGTAAAAGTATGCTACAAACAGTGTCAATAATATTGTTTTTATTCAACGTCACCACATTCAAAAGGCTACACGTTTTAAGTTATACGGGAAGTTCATCAGCATCGAGTCAGCCGTAAGTGCACAGGTATAATTATTACCGCTCATTTGGAGTTCGATATGAAACTTTGTTTTGCCCAAGGTTTTGATGCGATGTAAATGAAATATATGTAGGGGGCAAATAGATGTACCAGAGCAGTATTTTCTGTATTGTTTGGTATGCTTCAAAACGCAAGGAAAGTCAATTGCAACAATTTTTCTAATTGCAAACAGCGCAAACAATTCTGACATGATGTAGATATCTGAAGTTACAGGAGCCAATGAGCAGAAAATTTACAGAATTAAATTTACTGTACGATTATCGTTATAACTTTGAGCGGAAAATAATATTTCTAATTAAAGTACATGCCCGCATTGATTTAGTGCTACAAGGCTTCCTCATAAACGTAAATGATGAAATGTGCGGCAATTTCAGTGCGGGATCCCCGATGCACGTCCTGCCTGGCAGACCATGAAATTGACATGGATATAGAAGCAGCATCTATCAATCGTATCTATTATATAAACGTAAAAATAATTGCATAGCACTCTGAAAGTAGTGAGAGTTATCTAATAATTGCTTGAAGTAAGGGATAGAAGCTTCCCAACGGACAATATAGCTTAGCTTACCGAAGCAGTCCTCACAGAAAAGCGTTTCGAATCAATGGATTGGAATTGTTCATGACTTTTGGGAATCTATAGTTGTGGAACTCAACCTGTAAGAATACATGGTTCGAAGACTAGAAGAGTGTATGTATCCGCTTAACTAATGCATAACCACACTGTGACTGTACAATGCTCATCGCTGCGTCTGTGCACGTTCCTTGCCAGGAAAGAATCACTAAAACGCCAGCAAAATGGGTGATCACTGTGGTGAAGACAAATTTACTAGTGCGCGACTACGAGCAATTTTAATGTATTTTGAAAATAGATGAATTTTTTTGACGCTAGCTGTAACATCATATTCATCATCATTGTTAATACGCTTTGACGCCTTACAGCTTCTCACTCCGTTTCTAAATTGCAAAGCATTTATCTTCTGTTTGTTTATCGAATAATCGAAAAAAGGGATTTCAGGCAAATTTGTGCCCACCTACTGGTTTGGGAGGACATGAAGGAAACAAATTGTTTTCATTTGCCGCAAACTTGCATCATATTTATCACCTCCCGCAATACGCTTGGAGGCTTTAAGGTCTTTCACACTATTTCTAAACAGTAACTCATTTGTCTTCTGTTTGTCTATTGAATAATCGAAAAAATATTTCAGGCAAATTTTTTACCTGCTGGTTCGGGGCGAGGAAACAAATTGTGGTCATATACTCCGCAAACTAGTACTATCCAGTATCCGCATTGTAATACATATGTAATTATCCATTCAGTCTTTGTAGCAAATACAAGGCGTCTAGGACGAAATACACGTTTGAATGTATAAGGTCCAAACATAGCGACACCGATAGTTGGTGTAAACAATATGCTAAACCTTTCTCCAACCGTTTCTTCTTGCAAACACGGCCGAGATGACATGATTTGATTGATACGCTGTCAACATAGTTTATGAAGACCTAAAAAGGTAAATTAGCCTAGTTCGCAGCTATTAAGCGGTATAATGACAAACATGGACCTCATTCATTCTACAAAATTCATTTGTCAGTACTATGAACCATCCGGCTCAATCCGACTTGCATGTAAAATTTGTTACCTACATAAAATGAGCATTAGCTTTTTGGAAACGGCTCTTCCGACCACCATTGTAGACCAGGGAGTAAAATGGACCCCATACATCGGTGTGACCAGTACCATTTGTCTCAGCTATCTTAATTCCATTGACCCCATTTTTCCAATATCCACTGCATCCAAGTTGTGCTAATGGCTTCCAATCGATTTGTAAGGACGAACGTACATATTCTATGAGCTGCTCCATTTGCCTTTAAATGCATGAACCTATGTTGAATGGGAACACGTGGAGAATATAAGATGTTTGGTAATGAAATGTGTTCTGTCTGGTCAGAACTGAGAGTGTCTATCATTAGCTTTCGTTGGAATGGGAGAGATGGCTTCCGTTTACAGCAACACAGGACTGGTCAGACATATCGTACTCACACCAAATAATCTCATAACTCCGTAAGTTTGTTGTAGCCAGGGTCCCTCTCATTATGAAATACCTGGTTCTGTTTGGCGGCACTTTGCATCCTGATCACGTGCACGTACCTCATATGGCGTCTTGCTAAGCAGCTATATGACCGCCATTACCAATGTTCTATTAGATCTCTTTTCGGATTAAGCATTACAGCAAATTTGTTATCCTAAACGTTTTGAATATTCTTTAGAATTCTGTCGAAAAGTCGCAAAGATGACAATCAATGGCATTTTGAACTTAATTCAATAATATACACATGTACCTGTAGGAACAGATTGGGAACTGTATAGAGAGTATAGAGATCATTGGAATCTTCCAGAATGTACTTAATGGTCTTGGATTTTACTATGTTCAGAAACTGCAAATAAATATGGCCAAAAGCATTGAAAATGTCTTACAATCTATGGATCTTGGAGTATTCAAAGATATCTTGAAGTTGTGCCAAGATCTGGACGCCTCTCTCTCACCAGCACTTCATAAAAGTCTAACAGCAGGGTTGCCGTTGTATAATCAGTGATTACGAGGAACTTCAACACCGAAACATATATATGCAAGGTAATTTTCTTGCCAAATAGAAAACAGTTCCAGTCAACATATGGTTGAGTTATGATGTTCTAAAGCAACCAATTCAATTTGTGATAACATTCCACGGTAGCAAGTATTCTACAAAGGCTGATGTTCAAAGCTGTGTAATATTATTCCCCTTGACTGAAGACACAACGTCTGCACTTCCCAGAACCTCCATAATCTTGAAAGCAATCTGGTTGGTGCAGATGGAAATGTACGGAACTCCACTCTCGCACATGCTGCATTAGTTAGATGCCGTGAGATAAAGAACCCGACAATTACTTCTTCAAACGTTTTAAGGCATCATGCAGGAAACCATCAATACTGAAGGTCTTGGCTGAATTCTAATGGAATCATCTGTGGATGAAAGATTTGTCGATAAATCAATTGATTTAATAGACTGGTGGGTTAGGCTCATGGATCTGGCTATGCATTGCTGTATCGCCGGATCTGAAACACTGTAGAAGACACACTACGTTACTGATTATAAATCAAGAACAAGCTTCTTTGGTCAAGCACTTTCTATTGAAAATCTGGGTGTATGGTAGATCCAATGACGGAAAGGATGAAACATCACCATTAGCCATCCTGCTTCTGCAAGAAGCATTCACAAAACTCCTGTACATACAAGCACACATGCACCGATGCAGTGGCCACGAGATGGCCCCAACAACTTTGGTTGTTTTCGGCAACATCGGAGCCAATCGACTAACAGAAATTTGTTTTCCAGGTATCATGATCAGAGTGATATGAATAGTAACTTCTTGAACGCCATGTGGCTGGTAGCGATTACCTTCCTAACCGTGGGGTACGGGGACATGGTACCCAACACCTACTGTGGGCGTGGCATCGCTCTTATTACAGGCATTATGGTATTTTATTCCGTTCTATTTTCTCACACTTATGCTATGCAATGTATGCATACAGGTATCATGACAACGGTGGTATCTATAACTTCTTAAACTCCATGTGGTGGGTAGCGATTACCTTTCTGGCCGTGGGGTACGGGGACATGGTACCCAACACCTACTGTGGGCGTGGCATCGCTCTAATAGCAGGGATTATGGTATTTCATTACGTTTTATATTATAAACGGTGCATATTGTGTGATGAACAAATTGTTGTTTCGACGTAAAATTGCGTTTTGATGCGTCTGTGCATGTGGTTCTCGTTTGGCAAAGTATCGTGTTTTGTTCGACATCTCTGTATACATATATAAATGTTTATATATATATGTATTAAATATATATTTATGCTTGGTCTCTAGACACGGTATATTTACTTGTTTTACTTGTCACTTCATACACGTGACTAGAGTTCCATCGTTGGTTATAGATGGATGAGCACTGTTTCGGCCCAAACTGCACATGCGTTTGACTAAATTGATTACGTCTTCAGAGAATATATTACTTTCCGCCATTCGTATAAGAACACTAATTGTCGTAATGTGTTTGTTTCATGCCGTGCAATTTGTATCCGTGGTGAATTTATTGTATCACAAAACGTCACACTGTATGTACATGTATATGTACATGGTTGATCTTGTGCATTAACAATCACCAGTAACAAAAGTGTGGAAATAATCGCACCTAAGATGTTTCTGTTGACACATGTCTTGTAAGTCACCAATAATCAATGACCTTAATTTTTCTACGCTGCACCTGCTCGCGTGGCCCGACGTCGGGAAATTCATGAAAAATTTTCTTTCATTTATTTGTAAAAGACTGCAATAAATATTATGAAAAAGTTGTTTTGTTTTTTATTTACTTCTTTTAAGAAGATTTTTTCAAAAAGAACGATGTGATGTTTCCCGATGTCTGTCCTTCTTTCACTACCCCAGCTTGCACTGGTTCTGAAGCCGGCACACTTTCATCATCATCATGGCCGCACGCTTCTCATTTATGTATTGCACCGACAGGGGACGACTGACCCCGCCCAACAAACCAACTTCCCTATGGACACTGCTACAGTCCGTAATAAAGAAACATCTACTTCATTCGCCGCTTTAATCAGAGGTCGACACGGCAGGACGACTCTCGATCAATTCGTGTTGCACTTCAGTGCACTCTGGAAAATAAATGAGAAGTCGGATTCAGATTGGTGACCATAATGGCCAAAAGTCAGCCCAGCTCTCCCGTCCAGGGTTTCAAGTAATTTTACACTGAAAAAACTCCCGATAAAAGCCTTTTGGACACGTGTCTATTAAGTACACGTAAGCTCCCGCAGTTCGCCGGCAGACGTTCGGCTTGGCAGAGGATGCAGTAAGGCGCCATTCAGACTCCTTTGTTCATGTTAAAAGCCAGATATTTCATTCAATACAAGCTTGTAAAGAGGATCTAGGAAGATTATTCTGTTTGGTTAGAGATACATATGTCGAATCCTTATGAATATTCTTTTCTAAAAATTGATTGTGTCCAGTAAGTAACATATTTTGCACGATGACAGCCAAATCAGCCAGTACATTTAAAACATTTCTTGGCTAGTCATTTCTAATATAGCATGTAGCGTCTAGTAACTATTAAGTTCAGCATCTTGACAGATTAATCATTGGATATTAAAAAAGAAGATGTGTCAAAGTTCATATCTATATATGATTGGAGCGATATCGTGGAGTGATCATGAGATAGCCTAGCCCGATCTCCTCAAACCACCAAGTTAGCAAAGATGCAAATGAAAATAGACGCTGGCGTCTCACGTATGGCGTGCGTGGTCACCGGGGTCGGCCGGTGTACGTGCCCGGCGCGGCGGCTGACCCACACCGCGTGAGAACACAAGTACATCACCCCGCAGAGCCGACACTAATGCACCCACAGTAAATTGGTTCGATGCATTAGGACCCAAGCGTCTATATTACCCAGCACCTCTGTCTGCACAGAACGTTCGTTCCCTACTCTCTGAAGTCACAAATGGAAAATTTTACGTCATTTGGCAAATGGATACCCTCTTACGTCACCTCTGCCAAGTCTGAACGCCTGCTGGTGGATTAAGTGAAAGCTTTATATAAGCTAGAGAGACTGGATCTCCAAAAACCCTGTTGGTGCCCCATGTTTCAGCTTGGTAGTATGGGCATGACATCATCAAGAGAAATTGTCCATGCATGACAGAAGTTAAGACTGCTTATTCATTACTCAAGGCTGGCATGCCACAGACTCAAATGTATGCTTTGCATCTACAAAAAGCAGAAAGCTTCAGCATTCACGGAACAAAAGGTGATCCATTCTTTTCTCTACATGTCCCTCCGATACTAATACAGCTTCAATATACATCACCACTGTAAGAGCTCACGCAGCTCATATAAGATACTGGATCGACCTCTGAGAAATTCAAACAACAATCATCATTATGCATGAAAAATGTAAGTAATAAGGACAACGAATCTCGTTTTTGTTAATTCTACATGCCTTCTTCTAACTCTCATCAAACATACGCATTGATCTAACAATATCACGAACATCACTTTCATTTTGGACAATTTTGGATAGAGACTCATTAGAGGCAATAGTCACAACTAATTCACGTTCACCAGCATTCAAAATCATCTGCATGCTCCCTTAGCGTTCTCACTGTAACTGCTATCTAACTCAAAATTCGTGTCTGAAAGATATAATTTTATTTTTTTCTGTCATACTCGAAAAGCAAAATTTACTGTCAATCAGAAAAACAGAAAACGAGATGCAAAAGCCACAATCTCTCGCGCCGCCCCGCGTCCACAAGAAAGGTCCGCGTCCCAACCACACTTCTTCATCATACGTTGCAGTATCATGAATAGCATGCATGTACTGTGTATAGATCATTGCTAATCCCATCACCGAATGTTTGCTGTCGCAATGACCAATCTTCATTGCCCCCTTCCCATTACCAAGGGTTCATCATCTATGCAACCGAATCACTCTACTGCTGCCCTGCTAAACCTTTGCATTGACTACCGAACGTTAGACATATTTACCTGGTTTATCTATAAACAAAACTCATATGTTCAACTCCTAGCGCCCACTTTCCTTCATTCAAACCATGCACGCCCCCTCCCCAAACCATGGTCTTCCCACGTCCTTAGTCTGATGTATTCGTCTGTTGCTGTGTTCCCTACAACTTCACAGGGAGCCGGTTGTACAGCTTTAGTGGTAGCTGTCATAGCGCGGAAACTGGAGCTCACCCGCGCCGAAAAACACGTCCACAATTTCATGATGGACACACAGCTAACAAAAAGGGTAAGTGCGGTTTATATTGGTGTTATTTCCGTTACATTATGGTCTTGCCACATGTGACGTTTGTTCTTACAGCTGTCTATCCGATGTGGTTTAGGAGGGGTGCGTTACAACAGTCAGCCTTTTTCGGTATTCATATCTTGTCGATGGCATAGCTGCCAAATATTCGGGTAACAAGCATAAAGCTAGTTGTTTCCGCAGTGCCGAGTCTACATTGTATGTACAGTTGGTATAACAAATCTCAAAAACGTGCTTGGCATACAAAAATGTCCAACTGAATACACACTGGGCGAACTCTACTACAGTAACTATTAAAAGATCGATGTCGTTAGCGAATGATGTTATCACAGATGGTCTGTGTTCATTAACCAGGCCAAGGCACGGCCAGCGGAGCTAAAACATTTTGACAAAATTTGGTTGTCAAATGATAAAGGCTTAAAACATGTCAGTAAAGCAGCTAACATCACAGATCATGAGCATAAATTAGCATAGTCTAGAAAATCGGTGATATTATAATGAAATTCTATTCTTACATGATATATAGAAAAGAACGGATTATACGAATAGCTGACGCATTCTTAATATCTCATCATCATGATGTATAGTAATTAAGGCAAGCCACCCACTGCCATCTATGACTTTCGATGACCCTAAGTTTAATCACGATTCCCCCTCTTATTATAGCATTTACTAAAAATAAGGTTCATCGTGCCCCTAAATAAATATTCTTCTTGAAATAGCTACAATCCAGGGGTACTAGTATTTTGTTCTACAAATGTCAAGCATTCCACTTGTAATGCCGTATACCAGGACCCAAGCGATGAAAATAGTTTTAAGAACTGCTACAAGGTTTATTGAAACCCATGTTTTATTCATTGACATTATTAAGGTCATATCCTACTCATACATGTACGGCGGTGCGAAATGTAAAGATTCCCACCAGCCCATTCTAAACCCAGAGGACAACATTCCAAGACCGTCCCAATGAACATTTGTCGATATGTTTTTTTAAGGAAAAGGGACGTACTTTAATCGATATCTTTGATTTTATACATGCTAACGAAAATACTATTGATTATGGCAGCCCTGTATTGAAAAAAAAATACCTGGAAAACCTATCAACCGTCTTCTATTCCGGAAGCCATCACTATGAACATGGTTGTTCTACAGGGGAGCAATATGTCATTGAAGAGCTGGAAAAACTTTGCGTAGACTATCACGCTTGTGTTGAGTTTGTAGGACTGATTATAACTACTTATTTTTTTAAATATTTTATTCTATTTCAATTCATGTAGTTGTGTGTCTACACATGTATTGATGATTTAATTAGACGTACAGTGTATATTAACATTAAAACGTTCAAAAGCTTAATTTCTTTCGGGAAAGGGCAGACAGAAATCTGAACTGTGAATAGATAAGATCAACCTTGTTGGCTGTGCTTCAATCAAAAGCAAACAATTTCCTGCCTCACGCCCAATCGTTAACTGACTCTTTATCAGGCCTAATATTGTCTCTTTAGCTTGGCTTGGCGTGTCAACTACTTTGCTACAAGATTTTTTCCAGCAGCTAAACTTGTGCTATTTCTGTCATCACTTATTCTTCTGATCTCTTGCAGATAAAAAACGCGGCAGCGAACGTGCTTCGAGAAACGTGGCTTATTTACAAGTACAGAAAACTGGATAGAAATCATGCCAAAATAAGAACACATCAAAGAAAGTTCCTTCAAGCCATCCACCAGTGAGTAGCCCACTTTTGATTCTACCTTTGAGTGATATTATACCATCATTTGAAGTGAGCTAGTATGTTGTTTTCATCACTGTTTATGACTGGCTTTGCTGTTCCATGAGTAATTTCGCTTTATATACTTATTTCCATTGTCACTTTTATAATAGATAATGCTTTGTAATCCTACGTTCAATGTGTCAAGATATCTATTGATGAGTTTAAAGTTAAAGGCACTAAAACTACCAAGAAATCTACTTTAAAGACTACCCTGCATATTGTAAACACATTTTGCTGGCTTAACTGGACAGCGTTACCATCCTGCATATACCAATCATCCACTACACTTCGTTTTGCATTTGGCAACCCATCAAGATTGATATCATTATGGCTTATTTTTCACAAGAGTTGACAGGCACACGTTCTCCTTGTAAAGGGATGCAAGCCATTGTTAAGGTTATAACCAGCAGATGCCATTGCATTTTGTAATGCCATGTGGAAGATATGGACGGGTAGATTCTCCTCATCGTAGTCATATCTCAGAGGTACCGAATGACGAGCTGCAGGAATACTCCTCAAGAGCAGGTTACCCTTAATGTGGATATTAGTGATATGTTTCACTATATATGCGTACGAATATGAAATAAATGTAGAGCCCTAATAATTGACATTATCTCATAGCTAGGTACGTTACTCTAATGTACCGTTCAACCGTACAGAAATACCTTTACATCTCATGAAACTCATCAAACTGCTGGTCTAGTTAGTGGGCTTTTATTATGCGCACGAGCGAACGTAACCTCATACGCTCAGGTTCTAATGTGCTTCGTCTGAAGCTTGGTTTTACATATCGATCGTTACCACCATCTTCATGTTTTTAATCATCCAGCTTCAGACATTCTCAATAACTAATATGTGATACAATCAACTTCCAAATATGTATGATCGTGTCCCAAAGCTACAAGATTAAGAACAGGCAATATTTGGTTGCATGCTGTGATCATGTTGATTTAGCACCGTTATCATATAATTCTTTCTTTCAATTCAGCATCACAACAAACACCCCGCGGAGAGCCAAAATTGTCTCGTGTGTCAAAAGAGCACAAATGCCGAAGAACCATCTGATTTCCCATTGCAGCAATCGTGCATCCGCAATTAGAACAGAAAAAATAGATCAACGTCTGTAATAAAACTTTTCGCGGTGTTAAGGGCATTTTGAGGAGAGCGGGTCCACCCACGCAAGAAATATGGGCGTCGCTGTATCTCATCGTAACTTAAGACGTGGTTATCTCCTGCTGGTTCGCAGTAAATTGCTTCTAATGGCTTGTAAAGGAAGAGACAGTTTGGAATTGCAATATTGGCGTTTATGTGAACCGTTGAGGCCTAAGGTGTACCACTTCACGGAAGGTTACCCAGATAAACGTGTTGGTTGCATTTTGTTGCTTGTTACAAAGCAGTTACATAGCTAATAATATTTTCCAGTAGACAAAACAGTTAGGACAAACAAATGAACATGACAAATGTAAAAACATTTTTGCCGTACGCGTAATCCAACTAATGAGACGCTACCATCATATTGTAGTTTCTCCAGCAATAATAGCAGGCAAATGATAAACAGGTAGATATGCAGAATGCATCACAACATTGTTTTCTTTGCGTTTGGTGTATGTCTATATGTATATGTTAATAACGTATGGTCAAATGGCCTTTTGTGAGCAGAAGTTGTTATTCAGGTGGTGCTTCAGATGGTTCTCTGCAATCATCACGGCGATAGACATTGGAGCAAAACATTATACAATATAACAATAGAAGCATCTTTCTGTCTTGCACTGTTCTCTTTCCTGTCCTCAATTCTGTCATCTCCATGCCATTCCATCAACACTAATCTTTACTTCTGTTTTGAATGCTGACCACGAAAGGTTGCAACGGTAGGAAGTGGACCCGGCGCTTATTCTTCGACGTTTTTCGCTGCCTTTGCATCACTGTAATGTTTACGACATAATATTTGCCGGACGGAAAATTAAATCTAGCTAGCCGGGGGGAATGGAGGGACGGCGGGAGGGAGGATGAAAAGGGAATACAGGGATACATCCATACCTCGCTACAACTAAGTCCCTAGCACCATTACCACTAACACCTGCCAGTTTGGGTCAAACCTTTGGGAATCACAGATGTGTTACGGAAATGTTATGTTTGCAGATCCGGTAAGGTCTTATTTCTGCATGCTTTCCGCACATATTCTCTCATGCATGCCATTCGACGGAAGTTATGCAGTATTTCCTGCATACAGTAGCGCAGGCAGATTGTACTAACTACCCCAACATCATCCACTATTTTCTCCCAACATCCTTCCATTCCAGCCTACTGCAATCCACCCCTACTGACGTTGGCAAGTGAAGCAATGACCTTGTAATCCACACAATCATCACACTGGTGATGACAACTGTTCCAATATGTGCATTTTGTCGACAATGGTCTCTTTCCCTGTTGCAGGCTCCGAAGAGTAAAAATGGAGAAAAGGAAATTGTCGGACCAAGCTAACACGCTCGTGGATCTTGCAAAGGTAAGACACACTTCAGTCAATTGAGAACTACAAACACTCGCTTCCTTAGTTGGAGGTTACTATTTTAATAATATTTCGAATGGACAAGGATATGCCGTGTTATTTAACTAGCGTGATTACGTAGTATTCATTATCAATGGGATCCATTATAGAAATATTGCATGTACCATTATGCATCAGACATTCAGTTATTGCCCTATTTGCTAGTTTATAGCAACCTTCAATGCACCACGCCCTGATTTATACATTATATTACGTTTTGCACAGTAGTGCAATAAACTAGAGGCGTCATTTGATCTTTTTCAACGCACAGTCGTCGGCTTTTTTTCGCAATAAATTATGTCGTTGTGTTTTCAACAGACATGCAATCGTCCATCTTAGTCTCTCCATCCCCAAGTATCAGTACAAAACGAAAGCTAACACAAATATTGTGACTACAATAAAAGCCCAGAGAAAAAAGGGCATTTTTTATCGAAAATAATTTATTCAGATAACGTTTCTAAATATTATAAACGTCTTTGCAAGTCTGGTGGAAATGTGGCATTAGATGCACGTATCAAACTTTGTTGAGCCTAACCACTTTCACGCCTCTGACAAATTTTTCCCCTTATTTTGTTTTTCTCTTATCTTCTCGGTTGTTTGCAGAACCCGTTCGACTCTGATGAAAATCAAATGACGGCCTTCATTTCCGTGCCTCATATAGAGTTCTTTCAGGTGTGCTTGCATGGGTGTGGAGTGGGAAACGCTTCTTGTGTTGTTTTTTGTTTCTATAATTGTTTCTTTTCCTGTGAGATATCGAATAGCCCCGTACTTTTGTCCCTCCATCTCAAACCGTACGTTAATCAAAATGACGGCGGTAGCTATTCAAAAACACGCAGAATCTAAGCTCGCACGAGCATTCACGAGAAACTGAATTCCTTACCATGGTCACGCCATGGTTCATTTTGTAGCACACGGATATAGTTCTCATGTAAGGACGTACATTTTCGCCGTTCATACTCTTACAAATGCAAATGTACCTAAACAGAACCACAATGACTGTGATAAATGGGTTAAGTAAATGGAAAAATAAACATTATCTGAAATTAAGGCATTTATTATGTTTTGGATACATACAACACAACACAAAACAATGTGAAAACTTGATCTAATTCACAATTCTCACGCAAGCTTCGCGAATATTTTGTCATGGAAATGGACAACTCAGCATTTCCAAAGTAGATTCTTTGAATGGAACAAATGCATAATGGGCTCTTCGATATTCTCTGTGCGTCTCACTCGTACACCGTCCTGCTTCCGTTGCTGCTGCTTCTGCGCGTTGATGCTCCTACTGTTGCTTCTCGTCTGATTGCCAGGGTGTTTCGTCACGCTGGGGCAAGATATCTGCTATGGAGTCCACTGGGAACACAGTTTCCAGTTACAAAGTTTAAAATCTCTAACCGTTACAATGGAAATCTGTCAATTTCACACCTCTACAATTTGCCATCTGGGAACAAATGATATCATAATGCATATGTCGAAAATGTTGTTCTCGTAATTTGATTGAAGGCAATAGTTCGACCATTTCTCGATAGGCTTAGTCTGTCATATGAGAAGCGTACACATGACCTCGGAGTTGCGTCTACCAGGCACTCAAGAACACTCACATACGTCGATGATCTGCTTGCTTTCTGTTTCAGCTTTATTCATCGAGCTTTGCTTTCGCTGGATATCTTGTTGTACTACTCAGTACTCACAGTACTCTACACAGGAACAGGGTCTCTAAAAAGGTTTAACATCAAGGGTTGGCTCTCGGCTTGGAGTACTAGGAAAATTATGGTTTCAAAGTAGCTCAACTCAGCAAGAGAAATAAACAATGAAATCGCATAATTTTTGTGCTCACAATTTCTACTTTGCTTTACATGGAGACTCACGTCTATCCATTCTTCTATTCCACATTTCCACTATCGATTCCAGGCATAAAACTTGCGCTTTACAGGCTGCAAGGGTAAAACTCAGCAGGTTTATCTTGCCTACAGGTTGTACGTCTACTTGTGGCAATGCCTGCACTTTTCCGGCACAGCTTGTGTTGTTGCGCTTTACGCATGTGACGAAATGTGACGTGACTGTTTTAACAAAGGCAATTGTGTGTCTCTTATCAAGGTCTGTCTTCCAACACTGACATCGTACCGTAGTTCAAAAATTATCCGTAAAACAAAGGATCATTAAAAAAAGTTCGGAAAGAAGATAAAACCAAACAAGTACATAGAGCCAAATTGTTATTTAGAAATGTATTACCTGGAGGTTTGACTGTTTATATATAATGTTAAAGGTATGAACATAGTTGTTTTCGTCGGACCTGTTTTATGGTTGCGCCAAGCGTTTCATGATGTCTAATCGTCCCGTATCACATTCTCTGTTCCAGACGCAGTCGACAATGTATGACTTGGTAACAGAGCTGCACTCCAACAACCAGAGCGTGGAAGAGCGCGTGGAAAGGATCGAGAAAAGACTGGATGATCTCCAAGCTGTCATGATGCAGTTGCCTGACCAGTTAGCCCGCATGATCGCAGCCACACAGGCGCACTCCCCTCACCTCCGCTCACCCCTCGGCGCAACCTCAGAACCACCGATAGACGAACATATCGGACAGCGTGCCGATGAAAGACAGTCTTCGCCCGTCAGAAGGCGAGTTTCCTCGTCCCCCGAGTCCTCTCCACCGTTCTAGTCAAACATCGATCGTTTCATTAACACGTTTCTAACCTCAGGAGGTGACCGAGTCATAGTCACATGATGCGACGTGCACAACATATCAAAGCAAGCTCACAATGACGACGTCATCAGTTCGGGTGTATGATGTCGCACAATAGTGCCAGCTGCGTCACGACTCCGAGCGGAAAGGAAACACGACAAGCAGAGAGGAAGAAGGTGCTTCGCGTCGAAGCGAAACGAGCAAGGTGTTTAGGCTAAAACTCCTGATGAAAAAATGATTCTGATGACTTTTCAGAACACGTGCCTCCTGTCTATCATGGCTGTCAACGCACTTGCATTTCAACCGCTCCAAGGGACACGCAGTCATTCATCTGTTCCGCCATCTGCATCATCTTCTTCTCGGCATCACCGGGCCGACTCTGAGGAGAGTGTGTGAACATCGCGGCGGGCAGACGCACGGAGGAACATGCATGCCAAGAGCAGGATGTCCAGCGAGAGGCAAGGAAAGTCAGTTCTTGCAAATGAGCCATCGATTTCTGTAGACCAACCGACGAGATGAAAACATCAAAGGGCGAGAGACTATCAGGCACCCATCATGTCATCGGCGTGCAATAAAGAACATTGGCCAGGAATATACAGGTCAACGGGGGCTCGTCGCCGAGAAAAAAAGTGGTCATGTCGACATTATCATCGAGCATTTATCCAACTTGAGGAACTATACACAGAGAATATAACCATTTACATACTATGCCAACATGTACAATCGCTCTTTCACACGAATGAAGAAAGTGATATTTTTGTTAGACTATGCTGCTGGAAAACGCTAAACGATCCACTGAAAAACACTATCGGATCAGATGATGATGAAGTGATCCGTGGAACCTAAACCCGACTGATCGGACAGGCATGTCGGAGGATGTCCTCTAACGATTAACAGTTTAAAGGATTGTTGCTTCCTATATTATACCGTAGAATTATACTAGAAATACGATAGCCTTCACGTACTGATATGAAGGAAACGCGTTTACTATGCAAATGATCCAGTATGGTGATGAGATGCGGAATTTTACTAGAGGTTTCTATATGCTTTAGTTGTTTCTGCTGGCGACACTGTTCAATGTACTATAACACATGGCTTCTGTTGTTTTGTAGTTGTCGGTATAGGACTGACATGGACTAATGTATTGGCGTAATGTTTCTTTTTCTGTCGTAGAACGTAGCGAAATGATGATTATTTGCCATGTAATGTAGTGCAAGCAGACCTGCGGTTGGGCAGTTATAGGCGACCTCTAGCGAAAACGAGACACATTGTCGCGAGAATTCAGACAATCATAGGGACGGTAGCTGTTGTGTCACCAAACTTGTCCAACACATCCTTGTGGAGCAATGAACATATAGATTTTTTTTCGGTCAGGTTTTGTTGGAAGGAAAATTCTGTGTATAATATCGCCAATCAAATCGACTTGGAAGGCAATATGCACATATACCAAACGTAAAGACGTATTAGAGAAAGTTATACGTTATACATATATTCATCGTGACAAAAATTCTTAGTAAATATTGTGTCAAGACGATAAGAGTAAGGTACAATTAAAGTGAAGAATATTTTTAGATCGGGGCATATTTGCATTGTGATCAGTGATCAAACGTGCACTATCGATACGTGACATTGACTAGCAGTGGGACAAAGCCTGACAGCTTCGGCTACTCCAGTCGTGCAACATTACCGACATATCCAGAATTGATCCATGGTTTTCATCTTACAGGTGCGAAGAATTCGTGTATAGCTGAATGAGTAAGAGATACGATTGCGAATTGTGAATCTTATTTTACAGTACTCAAGATCCGGAGATTATGGTCAAAGTCTTTCATTGAAGTTGTAAATCACACATTCTCAATTCATTATTTGGTAACATCGCTATTCCATTAACACGCGATGGTCAACTTGAAGTTACCTTTCGTGCGTATGTGTATATGTGTGCGCGCGTGTGTGTGTGTGTGTGTGTGTTTGTATGTGCCTGTGTGTGTGTGTGTGTGTGTGTGTCCGCACGCGAGTGTTTTTGTTTGCGTTTGTGTGTGTATGCGTGTGTTTGTTTGAAAGTTGTGTGTGTGCGTATGCGCATGTGCGCTTATCTTTTTGATTTCACGGTCTTGGTCATTGACACAATAGAAGCTACCACAACGGGTTCTGTGTTGGAACAGGTTTTGTGACACAACAACACGCTTTTCTGGTCGCCATCGGCATAGGTACAGTAACTTTCTGTTAGATGACTTAGGCAGCGTGATTTATATCGATGGAAAAGTAGTTTTGCCTAGGAAAACTTGCAAACACAACCGCATACAGTAAGTACAGTTCTAGACTCGCCGTTCAAGGATGTGATGATTAAGTTCAGAGTAGAAACTATATTTGGCCCCCAAAAAGGTCAGCTGTCAGTAGACCACAACTGTTATGCAAAATCGTCTCTCAGATCTCTATTTTAGATTGGAGACGTGATGCTCTTTGATACACGACAAGAATAAAAAGAACCGTTGATTTCTGTTTGCTGGGGTAGAGACGATCAACTCTGGAGTGGTCTGTTTTACATGAAACGTGCACGTTGGGTTAGTACACGCCACATGGTGGACTGGTGTCCTTCGATCTGTGGTAAGTGATATAAGATATATGAGTCATTCTCTTTTACTTCTTCGAAGACCACGGTGCAATGTACATAAGAGAGAGAACAGGAGTTTGATATGCGCTGTAAAATATGTATTATATGTAAGTACTATTGGGGCTTTCATATGACAATTCATGTTTTCAAGAAATTACAGTGGAAATTAAAGTTTTGATATGATTCGCGCTTTGTGTCTTCTTTTGTTGCTTCCAAGTAGTGCATTTTCCAGCCAAGGAACAGTTTAGTTTTAACATAGCTACTTATTTACCAACAAAGATCACTATACTGTGCCAAAATTGGATCCCGACTTGTTGTCCTTTAAATTTGTATTGCCAACACCTACATGCACACCAAAATATTATAAAGATTCACACATGACTTCCTATGGTGCCCACAAACCCATAAACCCATGAAAAAGTCAACATACATATACATTTAGTTATGTATATTTTTATATTATCATTCATGATATATATTTGATTTCTTACTATCGTAATATGTTGCAGATGCAACGAGAAAAGGTCCTATTGACATCTGTGTGCCACACATAAGGCTTGTGAGATATCGGCATGCAAACTTCTACATCAAGCATCAAATAGAGCAATAATGTTATAAAGAGAAGGATTACCAGCATGGAATGTAGTAGACAAGGCTGGCTGCTAGTAACAGAAACAAACAAACAAACAAATGAGCACAAGATTCTACTGACCTGTATAGTGACCCAGAAATGTTGTTGATGGTGTCATCGGGACATGACTAAACAGCGATATGATTTTATTACAAAAATTGGAAGCTATTCGCTATTCACGAGCATTGTTTCTTCCACTCCGTGACCTTTTATGTTCAACTTTTGAACTTTGGCATCTTAGAGACATGGAAGGGCATATCCGTGCTGCACACCTCCGGTCAGCCGTAGCTTTGGTCGGCGTTTTGTCTTGTTTGGTGACTACTGTTGTGGAAGGTAAGGTTGTTGGGGCGTTTGTGCTTCCCCATGGTGGGATAGCACTTGATCCCTCACACTTCAACACAACAAACCAGACGGCACTGCAGCAGGCATGGCAGATCCACAACGCAGCTCAGAAGGTAATGAACAAATTCGTCGCTAGGGGTCTGAACGTACTTTATGTACTTTATCCACAGTACAAGAGTGATCTCTGTTTTTGTTTACATTATATACTGGCAATTTTTTGAAGACATGGCATGCAAATTATTGTTAGCCAAATCAGCCAACCGTCACCGCCTATTTTCCCACAACTCGCTGGCCGTGACGCCATGGCGATCGCTCGTGTTCATAAGAGAGTAGCTCAATGGTACTAGTATTTGTGCTAGCAAGTTATGGCAGAGGGTGATGCACAACTCGCAGATGACTATCCTGTGTAACGATGTTGGGCATCGTTGGCTTTGCGACTACTTTAAGTTTCCATCTTTTGCCTAACTACTTTGCCATTACTATGGCAATGAAGAATTGGAATAAAATCTAGGTTTCACATTATTTCTCTGCTTTCTTCCCTTCATTGTTCGCAGGTTGGTCGCCAGATCAACAGCCTCAGACCGGATCTGTTGTTTCTGAGCACCCCGCATGGGGTCGCTGATCTTACCAACTTCTTGTTCTACCTGAACCCTAAAGGATATGGCTCGGCAGACACAGACAACTGCGCTTGCCCACCGTGTTGCTATAATGTGTCCGTGGGTGCGTCTCTTGGTGATTTCTCTTTTCTTGGAAAATGTATCGTTGGATTTAGATTTCATTGCTGATAGATAGACGTGAAATGTGAGTAGATGGAATGGTAATAAGTAATCAGCAGTAGTATTGAGTACATAACCTTTAACTCACAGATCGGGAATCAATTAACAGAAGATGATTTCAAAGAAATCTACCTTTTACTCTGTAGACATTGATTCAGCAATGTCAGAGACGTTGGTCGAAACACTCCAGAGAGAGGACTTAAAGATATCGGGGCTGTCTGCCTTTGGTCCGCCAGGAGGCGCTGATGACCCGTTTCCACTGAGGTGACGCATTTTCACGTGATTTGTGCTGTCGCATTCTGTTGCATGCAGCTTATTAGGTGCTCCACAGTTTGAAATGTTTGACAGATGTCAGTAACATGAATTTGTTGTAGCTATTTACATAATGACTTGTTGTGATCATCGCTTCCACTTTATCATTCAGATTTTCGGAAGTCTGCATATCCTCTGCTAGTCATTAGACAATAAATTTGGATACTTAATCCTCGTTTGATGTTTAATTTGTGTGTTATGTGTAGATGGGCTGAGGTGATTCCCCTTCACTTCATCTCCAGCCTGAACACAACCTCCGTGGCGGTGTTGTCTCACCCCAGCCGCAGGTACAACCACAGTGTCGCCATGGTACCGGAACTTCTCAGATTAGGTCAGAAACTTTTCTTATACTGTATTAGCGTTTTATGTTGGTGGGTTTATAGGGTTGTCACAGGTGGACCACATGTGGCGATATATGCTTGCAAAGGCAGCCTGGAGGCTTCTACTTTCAAGTGTTCATAAATACTTATCATCATCTCATGAACTGTTGTAATTATCCGTTGTTAGAAGATGTGAAGGCGTGCTTGCGATGATATCAGAGGAGGTATTCATTCATCAATTCATTCTTATAGGGAAGTCTTTATACAAGTCTCTGGAGGCGTCCCGGCAGCGCGTGGTGGTGGTAGTGAGCGCGGACCTGGCTCACACGCACTCCGCAGACGGGCCGTACGGCTTCTCTCCCGCCGCACAGCCGTTTGATCAGGTGCCGCATTACACTGTAGTTCCATCATTTACAACATTCATAATAAGTCTAAAGCATTCAATCCTTTGTTTGTGTCAACGTTTTTAAATGTGAAATGTAATAACATTTGCTCGTTCCTGTGCAATATTTCGTTTTCAACGCCTTTAATGGTTTGCCTTTATATATTACTATATACTATACTAACACTTTTAGCAGTAACGCCCAAGACAGTCCATAGACAAATTCTTCGTACCAAGAATATATCTTTCAAATATTTCTTGGACCACAGGCATGTGGAGAGTGGGCGTCCACACTTGACGCTACTCCTTTATTGGTCAATGCTACATCTCTGGTGGACGAAGCACTGTCCTGTGGTTACACCGGTCTGGTCATGCTGCACGCCATCTTGTCGACGTCATCAACATGGCGGCCAACCCTACTGGTGAACCACCATCCCAGCTACTATGGAATGATGGTCGCATCTTTCATTCCCAGCGCATGATATTACAGGTCCATGTAACGTAAGCTGTGCAGTGTCATTTGTGCTAGAGCTAACTGAACGAAAATGTGAAAATGATTAGCCATTGGTTATCAAGTGACAGGAGAGAAGGTATGAAGTTGTAATGTTCTTAAGTTCATCCGGGTCACTCTTCTCGAAAGAGTGTGTTGGGTTCTTTATTAAGGTGCCTAGAGCTCCCCCATACACTGGACTATTCCAAAGAACTACCTGTATCATATCACTGTAGAGCCAGAAAGTATACTGATATCATGATGCAGCTTTGTACTTGTAGTAATCTGTATTTTTATATCCCAGCAAAATATACATGTTGCAGACATTTACAGTGTACTTGAACTGTGACGGAAAAAATGTGATAAACAATCTGAAATGAACGTTTTGAATATAGAAGATAACATACATGCAGTATTGATAATATAGAGCTTACCACGTGGATCAACCTGCTCCGTCTGTATTAGGAAAGACTGCACTACTACTCACTTATCAATGACCTGGTACGATCGTCATACGATTATATTCTTGGGATAATCCTGCGTATGTCTTACAAAATCCAGTTATCTCATTACAGAAAAGGCTATCTTGGGCCCTTGTCGGTAGTTGGACCTGTCACAGCCTGCGTGGAAATTCTACGACATCAAAATCTTACCACGACCTGCGCCGAATGTAGCAAGCGCCTGGTTTACCCTACCCAGTCAATCTCTCTTACTTCTTCCTTCACTTTGTTATCAAAGATGAGCGCTGCTATAAATATAATACTTTATCTGTTAATCGTCAACACTTATATAACATTCATCACAGTTGATCAGTGACTTATCCAGGTTAAGCATACAAGACTCCACCATACGCGGTGGTTTTCAACATCTAGACACAATGTATGGCCCACTGGAATGGATATACCATATAATCATATTATCCTTATTGATGGTAACTACCTGGTCGACCATCAGTATATCGCTACAGCAATGTTACATTCAACTTGTCACCTTCCCTGTATAACATTACATTTTATGAAGGCAAAACGGTTCCTAACAGAATACAGTGCATCTAATGAATTGTAGTCTGTTGGACATGCATATGTAAATGACTACAATGACTACAGGTTTATAGTACTAGTACTTCATTGTGGATCTGTGTTTTTGTGTGGCATTTCTACTTTCCACATTACCAGAAAATGACTGAAGAAAAATTGCTATCATTACCACGGTGCACCACACTCGCCCGGAATTGATTTCTATTACTTTAAGTAACATTTTAAGTACAGTTTGAAGTTTTTTTCAGTAATCTACTATTATTTCCTAGAACGTGGAGCAGAACCCAGTCGAAAGAGCGAGATGTGGGCCTACAAATGTTAATACGCCATCAATTTTGAATTTCATTAGTTTTTGAACATGTCGCTGAGAAGACGTTCCATTGGTGTGTTGCCGATGGTCCGCTGGAAGAAAATCGTTTCGATACGATCCGGTCCAACATGGCGGAGGCAGGGCAGCGTCAGAAGCAACCTGCCGAATCTGCGGAAACAAATATGGGGAACTTACCCTCACGTCACACGTCGTCATGTATGGAATGACGTAACGTACCGTTAACCAAGGGTTAAGAGTGGTTGCAAACCGGTATCGGCCCTGGTCCCGGTTCAATGAAGGTTAATCATGACAAAATGCCGGGGGTAGGGGGCCGGTACCGACTTCCAACCACCTTTGACCCGTTGCTCAAATCACACTTTCAGAAGGTCACGTGTGTTGTGTAATCTGATCCCTGAAGAAGACCAGAGGTCTGGTTGAGAACTTGATCTTGTTAACGTTGTGTGGGAAAATTGTTCAACTCTTTCCTGATGAATGTTTTGTGTTTGCCAATAAAATCCAGTCTTCTTTAGCTCAATCTGCAGGCACCTTTGTGGGGCTTCATCTCAGGTTCTATTGCCCAATCACTATTGACTGACCTGATGGGGTGGTTCCGGTTCTGACTGCGGGTGTGCTCGGCTAACATCAGCTGTGCCTGGTCCTGCAGCTTCTCCACCTGCAGAGGGTCCTTCAGCCCGCGGGTGTCTACAGACAAACACACGGCAAAGTCATCTTCAACACTACATTCAGGTATGTGGCTATCAAATATAAGCCAGTTCATGGGTTGAACTGCGCACGCGACGTGAACGCCAACAACTTGTCAACCGTTTCTGTCTAGACCAGGCCTGATACTTAGACGTCATCTCGTCTTAAGTTCTTCCCAATACTGTCCAGGTAATGAAAACGTCTTCTGTACTTTGTCTTGATATCAGTGCCTTGATACATTGGCAAAGCTAAGGATGTCTCAAGTAATTGAACCTGAACCAGGGGAACATATTGGACAGCAGACAAGGCCGAATCTTCAGCTCGTCTGTCTAATCCTGCTTTCAAAGGTCATGCAATCAAGCCAGCAGGTACTGACATCGATTTTGTGCGACTTAAAGGACTGCCGCGATACGGTTTGTAGATCGAGGAGAGTAAAAAAGATACGGAGTGTCGGGTGTGACCTTTTCGATGGTGTGTTTCTATTTTGATTCTTTGTCTAGAATAAAGAATCATTCTAGTCAGTCAATCAGCTGATCAGAACAATATCAAGTCATTTATTGTCTATAAATCAATTTATCAATGTATTTCATTCATAACCAACTGAAGTGGAATTGTTGTCCCTTTTGTTTGTTCTCGTTTTCATACCATATTTGTTCATTTCTTTTATTCGACATCGCTTTTATAAAACCCAAAGTTTAAATGGTGGCTGTACCTGGTTTAAAGAGCGCGACAGCCTTCAAACAGGCGAACTCGGAAGGGTCCACTTCCAGGGCCTTGAATCTGTCCACCATCTCCTGCAGGGCACGCAGGTCCTGCAAGGTGGCGCCCGAGCCGCCGCTCTGGGCATGCTCGGTTGGTGAGACGAGCGGAGAGGTGTCAAAGGGCATGGACCACTGGATGGCGCACAGGAGGAATAACTCGCCCCATCCTTCCTCCAGAAGGATAACCTGTCCATTAACAACATAATGTTTTATGTTAAGAGTCATTGCACCAGAAAACCAGGCAGAACCAGGCAGAGGCCGGAAGATGGGGGTCGGCCAAATCGGCTCATACTTTGTATGTGAGATAGGTATGATGAACTATTAACAGCCATATAGTTAAAACCCTCCAGCTATTTTTCGTTATGGAGTTCTGGGACCCCCCTCTGAGACCCTCAAAAATCTAACAATTTATGGCTGAAAATTACTGAAATTACAATGGATACCATGGTAATTCTGATAATGATATGAACATGGGGTTTCTTTTGTCACATAGCATGGGTCTTCTACTTTCACAAAACAAAAATTGAAGATGCAACATTGAAATTAAAAGGGTATACCAGGGGGTTACCAGAACCAATGAAATCAGAATTTTCATCTTTCTAAATTTTAGTCATTTTTAAGTACCCTTTTCTCCGTGACGCGGCAATTTTGATAAACGGTTTTACCGTTGCTGGAGAGAGGAACATCTGCTAATTCAAAAACAAGTGTCGTTTAATTGGGCCACATATACCGCGGGCCGTGAACGAAGGGTCTTTATGGTTTTTTTTCGGGTTTTGGACCATAATAAATTAGGTAACAACGTCTCTTTACGGGGTAAATCATGGACACTTTTTGTACAGCTGCATGGTATCAATGGACAAATGTTAAAAAATGATGAAAATAATTAAAAATATTCATTGAGGCTCTACATGGGGGATATAAGGATACTTAAAAAGCAAATTAAACTGATTTTACACAATTTTATCACATTTTATTTCAAATGTCCATGAGTAAGTACCTTTCAAAATCAATTTTGTGCATTCAATTTGTGCTAAATAGTATAAAGGCTATGTATGGGGGTTATCAGAACACCGTGTGTGAAAATAGCTACCATATACACAAGCCACATGGTGCATACTCGTAGATACAAGTACTCCAAATGGACAATCTAGCTATAGAACTAAGAATATGAGACTTTTAAGCTAAACACAACCGTAAAAACAGGCCAATTCAACTGAAGGCCACTGCAAAAATCACCCAGACCATCTAGGATCGCTGTATAAGTCAGGTCGGAAGATGGGAAGGTCTTTGAAATCCACTCATACTCAAGAGGGGCTTTTTCCCACTACCATTGGCTTTCTGAACAGTTAACAGTTTAGCATTTTCTATTTAGAATGAGCAGATCGTAAATGACCTTTAAGACCATGTGGCACAAAGGTGATTACAAAAGACTGTAAAATAACACAGCTATCGAAAGCATACATTCGATATAGTCTGGAAGTTGGTTTTAATCATATATATTATAATTGAGAATTTAAAAGTTTGCCCGGCGTTCCAACAGTGCATTTTTGGAGACGCTCCTGCGAGCTTCGCAATTGCCCGCCTCTGGCATCTATTTTTTCAAAACTTATCTTTGCAAAAATAAAACATAAATATGCAAAAAGTCTTCCGGGGCTGGTTTGTACTGTCTTGTCCGGGGTGCGGGGGCATGAAATTTGAATGTATCAGGAGAGCTGTGCATATTTATTATAAACGTCATTGACCATTACCTTGATTTAAATATTCTAATTGCTAATCATCTAAGTCAATAAGTCAATCATATTCATTTCATACTTAATTCTTACATTTTAAAACATATCATAATTATTATACGTCTGTGATCTATGATAAGTTAGTTCTCGAGTTGATAATAATTTACTTAGATGTAACATATCAATACTAACAACGACACTCATACACCTGCTAAAACCTGTCCTAGATATTAGTACAAATGCAGAATTGTTTTTTTTTCTTTCTCACTTGCCAAAGTCTCAAACGTACACATGTCGAAAACTAAATTTTGTTAATGTGCGCACAATGGTCTGTAGAGAAAATGGTCTATGTTCAAAATAGGACCTGCTATAAGTAAATGAAAGTGTTTTGCTATGTGCTTTTAAATTGTTCTATCGTCTTCGATGTTCCCAAGCTTTTTGCTTTAGCACATTAGATCATGAAAGGAGACTTTTCATCTCTCTTAATTTTAGTTCCTCAAAAACACCATACTTGCAGGATAGAGGATGTTTCGTTTCATTCAGAAACAAGTCTTGTCTAATTACTGGACCACACATAACACATAAATGGGCCATGGGGCTATTAGATAATACAAATCGATCAGATAAAATATCGCAGTAAATGGCAATATATGGACGTTTTTGTGTAGTTGGAGGAAAACCATGCATAGTACAAACCATGCATTGTCAAAAGTGATACCGCTTTAAGGGGGCTCTGCATGGGGGGGCATAAGGATACTTGAAAAATTAAATTAATCCAATGCTTGCATAATGACAATATCCAGCAATTTAGGCCTGAATTGTTATAAATATATCAAGGAATAGTCGATGATGGTACAGTCAATGATGGAGATACTCTTCTTATTTGAATTGATTGACATTATACTAGTATTGTAACATGATTCTAACTGGTCTTGGAATTTTTTTTGGTAAAAATTTACT